CAGAAATCATTATTTGTCATACAGAATATATATTTTTAATATGAATTTCATTGGCTTCATTGATTGATCTGTATTTAATTTGCCTGTCTCTGTTACTTTTACAAAATCCTTAAATTTTTATCACTTATGTTTAAACTACCCCATAACCTCACTAAAAGTATGGGCATAGTAAGATTAATCTAACTCCTACATTCAGAATGAATATTATATTCAGAATGGGACCCTAGCACACAGCAGGTAGTCACTAATGCTTGCTGAACTAGGAAAAGTTTAAAATAAAAAACAATGAAAGATTCTAAATAAATGTAAAGAAGATAATGGTAGGTAGAGTTCGATTTTCTAAAAAGATGTTCTATTTGAATTCTATTATTTTAGTTTAAAATAGGAAGAGTAACATCAACATACTAGAATTTTATACAGTAAAATGTTAGAAAAGCATTCTGCTCTAGATTTCTCTGAAGAAACCTATATCAAATTAATTGTTCTAACAATATGGAAGTTGAGAAATTATCTTTTACACTTGATATCTCATTTTAAAAGAAAATCCTCTTTTATGTCTTACAGTTCTTATTTCAATGAAAACTCATGAGAAAGCAACAATAGTAGCTTAATTTAGATACAATTAAACTAGTATTATTTAACTGTAATTGAAATGAAAACTCATTTAATATGTAGCATATTATGATATCACAAGCATGTCATTTTTTGTCCACTTAGATCAATGCTTCCAAACATCCCAATGTTAAAACTTTGAATTAATACATCTCCATGAATACAGATAGGTAGGAGACTCTCCACAATGAGCCAATTTTTGCTCAAAGGCACCATAAAAACTTTATGTTTGTAAATTAGTCTCTTAAAATATAAATACAGTATATTCATTATATTCTAGAGAATAAATTCATTTCATACCTAAAATGTTGTATCCTCAGAAGAGAGCATTTGGCTATAATCAGAGAAAGCCTATAATTCTGCAGTCTAGACCACAGATTGGCAAACTATAGTCTGTAGGCAAATCCAGTCCACCACCTGTTTTTGTATGATCTCAAAGCTAAGAATAATTTTTACAATTTTAAGTGATTGAAAAAAATAATAATTTGTGACAGGTAAAAATCATATGAAATTCAGATTTCAGTATCCATAAACAAAGTTTTATTTGTTATGCCCACTCATTTGCATATTGTCTGTGGCTGCTGTTGTGCTACAGTGGAAGAGCTAAGGAGTTGTGACAGAGACTGTAAGGCCCACAAAGCTGAAAATATTTATTATCAGGCCTTTACAGTGAAGAAGAGTTTGCCAGTCTGTGGTCTGGAACACAAATTTGTTTAAAGAAAGAGCTTAAACCATTCCTTTAGCTAAAGTGAAGATACTACATAAGTATCTAAGATGAGAAATACCTAGAAAAACTCAATTTCACACACATGTCGCTATGTGTTCAGGGCACAAGGAAAAAAATCACTATTGTAAAATTCCATAAATGTAATTAATCATCTACAATGTGTTGTCTTTTGCAGCAAGGAAAAAAATCCATCCATCTTTACATAACCTATATATCTATGTAGTATTTTAGTCTTTTTCCTTTTCTTCTTCAAGGTTTATTCATAGCCAAAGAGGATCTTGGTGACTGATAGATTCTGTTGTTTGATGATTACCTACCTACTTTGGTACTAGCCATCTAGTAAAATAAAAGCCTATGGGAAAGAGAATTCAACTGATAATGCATGATAGCTATAGAAAAATTAAAAGCTAACACATACATTTTTAAGGGATAGAAAAATCAAAACGTAAAACAAAATAAATTAAAAAGACAAACTCTATAAACAATTGAGGCTCTTTAATGTGAGTAAACAGTATCACATTGTTTAATCTGGACCTTTAATAATGCTGTAAATGTCTGAATGTATATAAAGCAACGTTTGGGTTGGTTTTGTATATCCCTCAAAAAGAAGGAATCGCCCTCTACTTGAGTCTATTAAAAGACTAACATTTTCAGGGGCCCCTTCTGAATTAATATATTTTAAGTCACAAAGTAATATTTTGGGGAGAAAAACTATTACTCAAAACTACCAAATCAATACAAGGTTTGGGTCCTAATAGAGGTTCCCTGACCTAATCAGATATCGATGTAGGAAATAAATGTCAATAAGTCTCTTATAGATCACCCTTAGAAAAACAATATAAAAAGGAAGAAAAAAGCAAAA